TTCTAAAGTTCTCACCACCAATTTAACCTTAATTGGAAATTATGAAAATGACCAGAATGATTCCCTTTTAAAAGTGAACATCCTCGTGCCTTCATTCTCTTGCTCCTTTCAAGCCTTTTGGGTAAAAACTCTCTGGTGAAGTTTTTGCATAATCCACTAGAAATTGAGACAACTCCGAACTATCGCCTCAACAACCAATTCTTAGGTAGCACAAGGGTTCAATTTTACAGTTGTTTGGTTGGTAAATTCAAGAGAGTACAATCACAAGTGTCTTTAATATTGTTCATATAAACTTAAAACGATGACTTTTTCAGCCCAACTCAGTTTAAAACACTTACAATAACCATAAGAAATAGAAACAGTGCTGCTTGACTTTCCAATCCCAATGACAATCTCAAAAATCCAATAAGAAAATGAGGCAGGATCTGTCTGGTTTTATTGAATCCAAAGGCAGGTCCAAATTGCGTTACAGTGAAGCTGCACTTGAAACCGACCTTTCTAAAAGTACTACTCACCACTTTAACCTTAACTTAAAAATGATGTAAATGACCAGAATGAATCCATTTTAAAAGTGTATATAATCATTCCTTCATTCTATTGCTCCTTTCAAGACTCTTAGGTGAAACCCTCTGATGAAGTCTAGGTGCTTGCGTAACCATCCGGAAATTGAGGCAACTCCAAACACCGCCTCAACAACAAATCCTTACCTAACACAAGGGTTCATTTATAAAGTTGCTTGGTGGGGCAATTCAAAAGAGTCCAACTGCAAGCACTAATCAGTTTTAAACACTTATAATATCCATATGAAATAGAAACAGTGCTGCTTGACTTTCCAATCAGAATGACAATCTCAAAAATCCAATAAGTAAATGAGGCAAGATCTGTCTGGTTTTATTGAATCCAAAGGCAAGTCCAAGTAGTGTTTCAGTGAAGCTGCACTTGAAACCGACCCTTCTAAAGTACTCGCTAACAATTTAACCTTAATTAGAAATTCTTGAATCATGTAAAAGACCAGAATAAATCCATTTTAAAAGTGAATATCTTCATCCCGTCATGCTCTTGCTCCTTCCAAGCCTCTCAGGTGAAACTCTCTGATGAAGTCTATGTGCTTGCGTAATCGAAACAAATTCAAAATGAAACAAATTTTTAGCTAGCACAAGGGTTCGATTTTACAGTTGCTTGGTGGGACATTTCAAAAGAGTCTAAACACAGGAAGTCTCTGGCTTTATTGAATCCAAAGGCAAGTCCGAGTGGTGTTTCAGTGAAGCTGCACTCGAAACCGAACCTTATTAAGGACTCGCCACCAAATTAACCTTAATTGGAAATGATGTCAACGACCAGAATTATGCCATTTTAAAAGTGAATATCTCTGTCCCTTCGTTCTCTCGCTCCATTCTAGCCTCTTAGGTGAAACTCTCTGATGAAGTGCTTGCGTAATCCCCAGAAATTGAGACAACTCCAAACCATTGACTTAACAACAAATTCAAGCACAAGTGTTCATTTTTACAGTTGCTTGGTGGGGCAATTCAAAAGGTCCAACTGCAAGCTATAATCAGTTTTAAACACTTATAATATGCATATGAAATAGAAACAGTGCTGCTTGACTTTCCAATCCCCAATGACAATCTCAAAAATCCAATAAGTTAATGAGGCAAGATCTGTCTGGTTTTATTAAATCCAAAGGCAAGTCCAAGTAGCGTTTCAGTAAAGCTGCACTGTCGCCAACAATTTAACCTTAATTAGAAATTCTTGAATTATGTAAACTACCAGAATGAATCCATTTTAAAAGTGAATATCTTCATCCTGTCCTTCTCTGGCTCCTTCCAAGCCTCTTAGGTGAAACTCTCTGAGGTAGTCTAGGTGTTTGCATAATCGAAACAAATTCAAAACGAAAAATTCTTAGCTAGCACAAGGGTTCGATTTTACAGTTGCTTGGTGGGACAATGTAAGAGTCTAAACACAAGTCTCCGGCTTTATTGAATCCAAAGGCAAGTCCAAGTGGTGTTTCAGTGAAGCTGCACTCGAAACCGAACCTTATTAAGGACTCGCCACCAAATTAACCTTAATTGGAAATGATGTCAACGACCAGAATTTTGCCATTTTAAGAGTGAATATCTTTGTCCCTTCGTTCTCTCGCTCCATTCAAGCCTCTTAGGTGAAACTCTCTGATGAAGTGCTTGCGTAATCCCCAGAAATTGAGACAACTCCAAACCTTTGCCTCAGAAACAAATTCTAGCACAAGTGTTCAATTTTACAGTTGCTTGGTGGGGAAATTCAAAAGGTCCAACTGCAAACTATAATCAGTTTTAAACACTTATAATAGGCATATGAAATAGAAACAGTGCTGCTTGACTTTCCAATCCCAATGACAATCTCAAAAATCCAATAAGTAAATGAGGCAGGATCTGTCTGGTTTTATTAAATCCAAAGCCAAGTGGCATTTCAGTGAAGCTGCACTTGAAACCGACCCTTCTAAAGTACTCGCCACCAATTTAACCTTAATTAGAAGTTACTGAATTATGTAAACGACAAGAATGAATCCATTTTAAAAGTGAATATTTTCGTCCCTTCATTCTCTTGCTCCTTTCAAGCCTCTTAGGTGAAACTCTCTAATGAAGTCTAGGTGCTTGTGTAATCAACCGGAAATTGAGACAACTCCAAACACCGCCTCAACAGTGGAAATTTGAAGTCTTGAGGAAAGTGCCCACCTGTACGATTCTCCCCGCCCACTTGTAACTAATCACGACCAGTGACGGAAGTGGATGACTAACGGCTCCAACGTAATTGAGAGTGAAATCAGGACCATAGGGAGTATCCAAGTGGTCATGGGATAGCACACTAGCAAAAAAAAAGCAAAAATGGGCACTCGCAGCAGACGTTGGTGGGTTTTGGCAGAATGAAATAAGACAGGCTGGAAACAGCCATCTGACTCTTATACAACATGATTTGTTTGAAAAGTCGGGGCAACCTCACACCGAACAGCCATCTGTCTTCATAAGGCTCCTGCCAGCTCCTCAGGGCCCCGACAATCCAAAAATACACCCAAAAAATCCACAACAAAACTCAGGAAAGTTCCGCCCGGAGTGGGAGATGAGATACAGTGCTTGAATTCAACATGAGCTTCAACTACAAATAGACTGAGACTGAGTGTAGAGTAAGATGTCTTTCACGTTAAAGCTGAAAGAAAATCATTTACAAGTAAATGGAGCCATTCCAAAAGAAACCTCACACCTTCAGTACTTGGGCCGTAATAAGTGTCAAAGGAAAAAAAAACATGCCTTTCTGAATATGTGGCAATGCCAAACCCACTAGTAATACTATGAAGGAGTATAAAACCATAAGTATAAAATGTATAATAAGTAATGTATGATACCTTGATATATAATATGTTATTGGATTATCTATTCATTAACCATGACGTTGTTATGGTACTTTAACTAATACCATAATATATGGAAGTATTAAAATATAATCATCCCTAGAGCTGGCACGAATAGCGGTTTCAAGGTAACCCAGAGTAAATTTTCTTATGGTATTACAATTAAAATATTAATTATTATTAAAACCTTGACTAATTATCATGACTTTGATAACTCACGTAAATGTATACTTACAATAACAATTAATAACACACAACTGCTGCACATTTTTGTTGTTGTTTGTTCATTTTCAGGACCATAACTTGGTGCACGGTTTCTACAGGTTTCATCAAGTCAAATTTAAGACGTTTTAAGACCTTTTTAAGATCATTATAAATTAAATTTCAGACTTACACAAAGCTAAATGCTAAGAACGAGTCAAAGTCGGGGTTAAAACCACGAAGTCTGAACTCGGCATTAGAGAACTTGCTGTAAAATGTCTAATAGCTGTTGTGAAATAAATAACTCTTTGCAGTAATTTGTTTTGTAATATATACCTTTTATATAAATATACCTTATATATGTATATAAGTATATATAAGGTTTTCATATATGTAACATATGTACACATGTTTTGTAATATATATACATATACATACATACATACATATATATATATATATATATATATATATATATATATATATATATATATATATATATATATATATATATATGTATTACAAAACATGTGTACATATGTTACATATATGAAAACCTTTAAAATCAGGACCTTTTTAAAATGATTTAATACCTACGACACAATATTTCTGTGAATTTAAGACTTTATAAGGCCTAAAATTTGTTTAAGACGTTTTAAGACCACGCGGACACCCTATATGTTGTCAAAAATCTTCTTTTCATTAAACAATATGAAAAAATATATACAGAGGGGCTAATAGTTCTGACTTTAACTATGTCTGTACCGTAATATAAAGATAATATATCACTTCAAACTATTAAAAATCTCCATAAAAGTCACTTTTTCCAAACCTTTAACATCAAAAGTTGTCATAAATTCAAAAGAATAAATAAACGAAAAGCAAAAAACATTAAAAACAGATAAGTTTACAGATATAATTCCTGTCTACCTGAATGCCATTTCCTGGACTTCACATATTATGCAAATAAGATACTAGTTTTAGCAAGCGATGCCTTTGCTGTAGCAGCTGATCATTAAAGTTAGTGTTTTTAAACATGCCAGCGACTGGACGTTCCTTCCATAGTGTCTGTAATGTGGCAAACAAAGTGCTCTGCTATTTGCCTTAATAAATCTATAAATAATACAGCTAGAAGCCGTGTGATGCTGCTTCTGAGCTCCAGAAAACCCTTCAACTCTTTTCCAACCGCCTCCGACTGCCAACAGGGAAAGAGACAACTTAATGACGGCTCCTGTCATAAACAGCGATATAGCAGAAGCACAATGGTGTGTGTTTCGCTTTTAGATGTTGTTTTTAAACCGTAATTAAGATCCCAAGCAAAGCCCGTCAGAGCAATAAACAGAGCGTGAGGTTAAAACTCAAAAGATTGTGCTAATATACTGTAATTAAAGCCTCAGATGAGGACAACGATAACCCTCACCGATCTTCTTGGAGCGCTCGTCCCCTCTGCTGTGCACGGTGATGGGAGAGTAGATGAATGGACTGGCGGTGGACATTCCCTGTGCCAAAAGGCCTTTCACCTTGTGAGGACGCAGGCCTACTGGGAGGTTAAGCAGAGACACTGATCTGAAATTAATCACAGAAAGAAAATACAGATTAAGTTAGTGTGTCGAGTAAGCAGGAAGAGCCTGATAAAGTCTCCTATTTGCACTTATGACTGGTTTATACTTCTGCGTTGAGTGATCAGAGTGACCCATGGCACCTGCCTTGAGTGTGGCTGTGTATTTATACTTCTGCATGCTGTTTGTGTTGCTCTGCAATAGCACTTCTGAAACGCTAGCTGGCATTGAGGTTCTTATGTTCCTCTGTGTCCAGTTTCTTTGCTGGTGTTTTGTTTCTTCTAAACGCTACCTTAATGTACGAGTGGCTAAAACTCGCTAATTCAGAGGCGGGAAACGATGTTCTGGTAGCAAGACATTGAATGTTAACGACACATGGAGAGGGAGAAAAAAATTAGGATAAAGCAATATTATTTATTAGAATTAACTCAATATTATTATTATTATTATTATTATTATTAAAATTGCTGCATTATTATATTTTTTTAAAAATCTCTAAAATGCTAATGGATAGATGTTACTTATTACTAAAATGTATTTATTATTTATTACTTGATTAATTACTATTTATTTGTACTATTGTTGTTGTTGAATTGATACATTTTAAATTATTTATTATAATTACTATTGTCTTGTGTAATACTTTTTATAACTAATTTTTATTACTACTTATTATTTATTTATTTATTTATTATTGTTACTTTTATTGCTGATGTTTCTGAATTGTTATATTTAAAAAACTAAAAGCAATCATAAAACAATATTATTTATTATTAAAATATATTAATTTAATATATATATATATATTACTTTATTATTAATTATTGCTATTTATTTTTATTACCATTTTGAAATCTTAAAACGCTATCAATAAATATGATTTATCATAATTACCTATTTTATTATTTATTACTTTATTATTATTTATTATTATCTATTTTTTGATAAAATCTTTAAAATGCTATCAGAAAAAATATATAATTTTTATATTTATTATAATTTTTTTATTTTATTATTTATTACTTTTTTAAATTTATTAATATTTGTTATTATTATGTATTTATAATTATGTTTTATTGGAATAATTACTATTATTAACAGTAATAATAATAGTAGTATTTTATTTATGATTTTTGCATAGGTTTGTTTACATAAAAACCCAATTGTAATAATCTTTATTATTAGTATTATTATTATTATTATTATTATTATTATTATTATTATTATTAATAGCAGTTTTTGAAGCAATATGACTATTACATACACAAAAATTAATTATGAATAATAAGAGTAAAACACAACAACAATAATAATAATAATAATAATAATATACAATATTGCTACTATTTTTAATTATTAATAATAAAAAATAATAATATTTAGTTAGTTATTAATATTATTAGTTATTATAAATGTATTACCTATTTATAAAAATATTTAAAATATATAATAATATAGATAAATTATATTTACTTTAATAATAATAACTTTATTATTATTATTAGTAGTAGTAGTAGTAGTAAATTATCTGTTCATTTTTTTATTAACAATAATAATAATAATAATAAAAAGATGAAATCTTAAATAATAAAACGTGATGAAGATCAGGAGAAATGCAGCTAGCCTGAAGTTTTACAATTAAACATCCCTTCAAGAATAAATTAAGAAATTTGAAGAAAAAAAAAAAAGCAAGCTTTCAGAGATGAGTGTTCAGAGAAACGGCGACTTCAATCAAGTGAGCGTGTTGAGCTTCTCCCACTGCTGGGATTATGAAGTACATCTGTTAAACACATTTACGGGCCCTCACTGAACATCCGCAGCTTCCTTGGGACAGATGAAAAGGATATGTGAAGTTTTGTACTTTCCATAAAAACGTTTAATTTGAGGCAAGAATAAAACAAATGAAAGAACCAAATTTTCATTTGCATTCAGCTTTATGAGTTCACAGGCCAATCAAACTTCACAAATGTTTTGAAGAAAAGTTAGGAGTCATTGTTCAGACACTGAGCTGTGGAAATACACACTCAGACAGCTTTGAGGGTTAAATCTAGTTGTCTATTTTGTATAAGGTTAATGATTAATAAATTAATTGATTATTAATTTCAACGACAATCCATCAAGGTGTGGAAAACGACATCCCTAACTCTATATAACTGTATGTTTATATATGTAAATTGTCTAATTCATTTATATAAATAGATGAAAGCAAAATCAGCCACTTTCGTTTCTAAAAATCATATTCAGAGTAGAAAATAACCCTACACTGAGTGGTTTTGATGAAAGGGATGTGCATAATAGCGCTATATAAAAGCGCTTTAAATGTAAGGAATTATTATTATTATTATTATTATTATTATTATATGACCTGTTTAGAAAATAGTGGTCTCGTGAAGTTTTTTTTACCTGACGATGGGCAGTTTGGTGAAAGGAACAGGGGGAAGTTTGAGTCCGTCAGGAAGGCTGATCACCTCCATTCCTCCTGGACACTTTGACGTGTAGTTCTCCAAGCTCTGGGTCACTTCTTTTTTCTCTGTGGAGCGAGAGAAAGAGAAAAGACAATAAGCATTAGTATTTTTGTGACAGCCAGAAACGTGGGTGGGGAGCAGTTTAAAAGGAAAGACACAACTGACAAAAATAAAAATAAAAATAAAATAAAATAAAATAAAATAAAATAAAATAAAATAAAATAAAATAAAATAAAATAAAATAAAATAAAATAAAATAAAATAAAATAAAATAAAATAAAATAAAATAAAATCAAATAAAATACATTTGGATTCATGCATCGCACATCGATGGATTTGGTCTTCAGTGTTTTGACTTTTAGCAGTGAAAATTAAACCACACTAAACTGAACTGAACTAAACTTACAATTGACTATAATCTTCTATTTTAGGATTAATTAAATTAAATAAAAATGTTAGTCATCAAAATAAAATAAAATAAAATATTTTTAATGAAATAAAAATTATTAGTAAAAAAACTGATAAAATAAAATAAAGATAAGAATATGAAATGGTAAAATAAAATAAAACGATATTAAAATATGAAACAAAAAATATTAAAATAAAATGAATAAAATTAAAGTCAGCCATGAATATAAAACAAATAAAATTACATAAAATTAAATAAAATATATAATAAAATTGAATCAGTATAAAACAAAAAAAAAATAAAATAAAAAAGGAAAAATATAAAATAATAAAATGACAGCCATGAGAATAAAACTAAAAATAAAAAAACACTTATGCAAAAAATATGTATTAAATTATATGAAATGGCAAAAGTAAATTACAAATAAAAATCGTAAAACATGCTATTAAAATGTTTAAAAGATAAAACCTTGATGCATTATGTTTACTATTTTTAGTATGCATTGCTTATTAAAACAGTTATAGAAATAAAATAAAATATAAAAATGAAAAAATAACAATTAAATTTAATTAAAATATAAAATAATAAAATAAAATAAAATATCATAAAACTAATAAAACAACATAAATAAAAATAAAAATAAGAAAATATAATAAATAATATTAAAATATTAAATAATTCAATAAAATATGAAATCAGTATAAAACGAATAAAATAAAAAAATAGGTTAAATTAAATTTAAAAAATAAAATAAAATGATTAAGACAGTCAACAGTATAAAATCTATAAAACAAATAATCTAAAAAGATTATGAAAACTATCAAAAAATCATGTAAAAAAATTTGTCTAATAAATTAAACAAAAAAACTAAGTAAAATGAAAGAAAATAAACTATCGATCAAAGTCATATTATGAATAATCAAAGTCATATTATGAATAAAATGAAATAAAATAACATTAAAATATTAAATAAACTAATAAAACAAATATATTTTAAATATATACCAAAATATAAAACAAAAAACAATGAAGCAACATAAAAATTTATACAATTAATTACATGAAATGTAACCAAGTAAAATACATAAAAAAATCAAATATATTCAAAATAAAAATGTTAAATAAAAAAGGTGAAGCCTTGATGCATTTTGAGTGCTATAAGCATTCCTTAATAAAACGGATAGTTATGGCACTAAAAACTGATTCAAATGTCTAACAAACAAAATTTGCATTCCTGAGGTGTTTTCTTTTTCCTTCTTTCTTAAAAGCCAGCCCACACCTCATAAATCAGCAGATTATCAATGTATCTAAAGTGAACCGCGAGTCCCAAGGGTGAAATTACCCACAATCCTCTCTCTCACAGGCCTCTGGTCCAGAGTGAGATATAAATTTAACAAGGCAAATAATGTGCGCGTCCATACATCATGAGGACAGAGTCTATTTTAAGCTCTGTTTGCACAGGTGAGCAGCGTATTGACTTACTGCTCTGTCTATAAAAATGTTTACGGCCTCGGTCTGCCATCAATTCACACCTCACAGGCTTTCCCATAAAACCAATGATCCCGGAGCAGTTTCAATCCAATCCAAACACTCTGAAAAAAAAAAAAATCCCTGCCCTAGTGAGCAACAGGCTCGATATAGTACACGTTAGAGACTAGAGGCAAATAGTAAATAGTCAAATTAATATTGATCATTGAAAACGTATTTATTTATTTATAATAATAATAATAATAATAATAATATATCACTATTGTTATTAGTATTATTGTGTTGTTGTTGTTGTTGTTGTTGTTGTTGTTGTTGTTGTTGTTGTTGCATTCTTTTCTACAAACGCAAAATTAAATTACTATTTTATTATTTATACTTTGTTTTTATACTTTATTCATTCATTCATTTTCTCTTCAGCTGAGTCCCTTTATTAATCTGGGGTTGCCAGAGTGGATTGAACTGCCAACTTATCCAGGATTTGTTTTACACAGCGGATGCCCTACCAGCTGCAACCCATGCAGGGCTTAATTTGTGCCGGAACACGCCGGATCCGGATCCTCTGAAATCTGAACCGGCACCTCATTTTACCGTTCACCCTTCTCAACCGCCCTCCTCCCCCATCCGCTGTTTACTTCCACTTTCTTCCACGACACCCCCGCCCCGCTCACTTTCGTCAACGACACCCCTCCGCCATCCACCACACCATCAAACAACACCTCAACTTGTTGCAATGTTATATTTAAACAATCTTAAAAATGCTATTAGAATTTTTATTATTACAATTTATTATTTTATTATTTGTTTATTATTATTATTATTATTAGTTATTATTAGTTATTATTATTATTATTATTATTATTATTATTGCATTGTTATATTTATAAAATATTGTAAATGCAATAAAAATCTATTATATTTAACTTACTATTATAATTATTTTTAACTTTGTTATTTATTTATTTATTTATGTATTTATTATTAATATTATTTTTGTTGTTGCTTTGTTATATTTATAAAAAATGCAATCAGAAAAAAAGTATTATTAAAACTTTATTTTCTTATTACTTTATTAATTATTGTATATTTATATATTTTTGCTATCGTTAGTAGTAGCTGTAAGAGTTGTAGTAGTAGTAGTATTACCAATAACTGTAATAATAATAATAACAATAATAATTTTAAATATATCATGAAATTATAACTTTTTATTAATAATATTTTGTACATTTTTATTTATATAAGAAACATAAGAGTAATCATTTCCACTGAGAGGTCTGGCTATCTTATAGCTGCCATTAATGATTTAACAGTAGCTGAGAAAGATCTGTCCCATCGATATATCTCTCATTCCTCACAGCGGGATTGCAAAAGTGTCGTCTTATAGACATCCTTCACAGCTGAGCAAATAAAAGATCAAAAATACACTTCTGCTGCCATTCAGAGCAAAACACAACACACACAAAAAAAAGTGGATTATCGTTACGCAAAATCTGGATTTTTCAAAGCTGATTTAATCTGCTGATTTATTCACAACCAAACGGATCAATACTGAAACACAGAAAAAAAAGCTTAAATATAATAGCGTTGACTATATGTGTTTATTTGCTTTATCATGAGCTAAAATACGTGCAGGGATTGAAAATTGAAGGAAACCATCCGATTATTCAATCACCTAAAAAATAAAATTGAAATAAATAATTCAGTGGATTAGACATTAAATTAGTCCTTTTCAGGATATTGAAAGGCAAGAGGAGCTTAATTCATCAAAAAAAAAAAAATAATAATAATAATAATAAGAAGAAACAATTAATTTTGTTACTACCCCAAATAATAACCAGATGCAGCTGATCATTTTAAAAATAGTAGGAAAAAATGCCTGAAAATAGAGTAGATTTGTCTTTAAATTGAGACTTTTTGCACTTTGATTCAGCTCAATGCACTTACAAAATCTTACAAAGTCTACACAGCTGAGATCTAAATAATAAGTATTCATTGAACTTACTCCATTTTTTTAAGGTATAACTGCTCGCAAACTATTCATATGGGCTGAATTCAAACAAACTAATTATATTTAGTAATGTACAACATCATTTGTTTAAATTCAGCCCATAAAAATAGTTTGCAACCAGTTATACCTCCAAAAAATGGAGCATATCCAATGAATCCTTTTTGACATTGTATTTAATAGTTGTTCTCAAAATGTGTTGTTGGTTCGACAGCGCTGAAAGAGACCTGTGTGCATCTCTGGGCCTCTGTTGGATAGAATCACTACCTACAATTAGGTTATATAACACAAATCTCTGAAAAAAACAAAAAACTAAAGCGAGTCTGTGTACTTGGAGAATTTTCAAACTGGCTGTGTCTATTTAGAGAAAGCTATGAGCCAAAATCAGAACAATGAAACAAAATAAATCTCGCTTTTTTCATATTCATCCATGGCGACTATCATCAGAACTTAAAGGGGTAGTTCACACAAAAATAGAAGATTTGATGTTTAAGTGAAAGTTCACATGAAGCAAGAAACTATGTCATTTTACTACACTTGTCACAAATCTTTTAGTCAGTTCAAAGCTGGGAAACACTAAAGGCAGAGAGACACTGTTCACACTTTTACATATTTTTGTAAACAGCGGCAACTCCACCTCCACGACCCGATGTAAGCAGAGAGTTAAAGTAATAGCAGTCAAAGGGCAAAAGTTCAGCAAAAACGCTAGACTCACCCGCAGTCGCCCACGTCTCCATTATGCATAGAAAATCCAAACCTTTAGAAAGCAAATAATCCTTGATGATAAAAGTTCGACAATGATCTGGTGATCAACAGGCCGAACCCGACAGGCGCTTGTTCATCAGTAACCCGAGGAGCCCGTGCAACGTACCACAGAGGATGAAAGAAGCAACGAGGCAGGTCTGAGCCCAAGACCAGTACCAGACAATCGTGAACTGGCTTCGTAAAGTGTCGGGAGAGATACTGGTAACAAATAACTCCAGGCCCACTGAGGGAAACTGTAGATCTGAGAGAGATCTTCAGTCTCAACAGCCTCCCAGCTCGCTTGCCACGGCAACGGTGGCATTTCCGGGGATGAGATACATGGAAAAGGTGAGCAGAGACTCCCGATGGTAACAGTAATGGAGGTATAGATTTATGTCTATCTTCTGGATTATAGACCA